TGCAACACTAAATGAATGAACTTGAGTGGCGAGAGCGAGGATTAGAATCGCTCAGACTCCATAGCTAATGGTACAATGACATACAATTGCAAAAACAAATAAATGAACTTCAAATGAGAGATCGGGGATTATAAGAAGAAGAAGATGATGTACATCAGGGAAACCAAATTTTACATAATGCAATCCCTGCAAGTCACGACAATACGTAAGTACCGGGCCTGATGGCCTGTCGAACAAGCTCCGGCCGTTACCGGGCACACAAAAAGTAACCCCCACGCTCTCTCTCTCTCTCTCTCTCTATCTATCTATCTATCTATCTATCTATCTATCTCTATCTATCTATCTATCTATCTATCTATCTATCTATCTATCTATCTATCTATCTATCTATCTATCTATCTCTCTTGTCGTGAAGCATTTACCGCCGTGCACGTCGACGTGGGCGCGCGTTTTCAGGAGGATCATATTGTCGTAGTTCAAAACCTCGAATGATTGTATCTGATCATCGTTCCCGCATTGCCGTTTGGAACTCATCTGGCAATCTCTGTCGGAAATCAACGAACCCGCACAGCCGAGAAAAAATGACATATCCATTGTAACGATTCTGCTTTGGTTCGAGATTTGCACGACCAATAAGCAAATTCATGCACTGTTGCAGATGCTCCTCCAGCCCAGCAAAAGTCACAGCCTCCTCCAAAAGCGCTGCGGGTCCCGGCCACCGACTCCTAATCTCGGCGACTGTCAGTTCCTCGTCGCGGAAAGGATCTGTATCTGTCCCATTTCCAAACACGACTGCGTCGGCCCGCACGCCAGCCCTGCGTCGTCGTCGGTCCATGTATGAGAATGGGTGAATATTGTTATGTCGCTTATATGTGAATTTTTAGAAATCTACAAAACAGAACATTACGGGCACCGATTACCTTAGTATTGTACCTCCACATAACGAAAACGAAAACAAATTTCAAAACGCAAAGCAGGCGAATAAAAAAAACTGAAAATATATAAGAAACACATGGGAGATGACGATTGCATATGTATACACAAAATATACAATCTTTGAAACCATCATTTTGTCTCATTCCGACAACGAAGAAACATAGGAAAAAAAGAACGAATGGTACTCATCGCTGGATCCCACTGCAAGGATAAAACATGGCAGAGAAATCCTTGCCATCGGAGACAAAATAGGGCGGTGACACGACCAGGCGCCAGACGCCGTCCCGAGCGACCGTCCCGTAGTGTGTGTATAGTTTGCGATGCACAAGGGGGAAAACGATATCATACATCAAATCACCGTCAACCGGTTTGAGAAAAAAAGTACTGAAGTACGTGGTCGGCTTAGACATTAGGACACGAACGTGTTCGATGGCGTGGTCACGAATATAAGTCTCTGTAGTGAGTCTGACGACTCGTTCCTCCTCGACGCTGACAACGAAATGACGATCCACCTTCTTATCTCCATTGCGGTATCCCACTGCATTGCCGACAAGATCTGTTACGGGAGGCATTGATTCGTAATAGTATACGGTGTCCCCATGACCTACGTACACAAAACGGCAATGGCCATGTACAAAAGAACAAATAAAAAATTGAAATAACACTAAATAAAAATAATACAACGGTGTCGCGCCGGGAGACAGGGGTTGTCAATCGGGGGTTTCATTTCCAAATAAAAAAATATATATATATATAATAACCAACGGATACAGTACCAGTGAGATGGTGGACGGTTTTTTTCAGAGAGAGAGAGAGAGAGAGAGAGAGAGAGAGAGAGAGAGAGAGAGAGAGAGAGAGAGAGAGAGAGAGAGAGAGAGAGAGAGAGAGANAGAGAGAGAGAGAGAGAGAGAGAGAGAGAGAGAGAGAGAGAGAGAGAGAGACAGAGAGAGAGAAAGAGAGACGCCGGACAGGACACTAACCGGTCGTCGCTGCAATGGATGTCAGCTGCAACCTCGAAGCTGTCGTTTCGATGTTGAAGTTGACATCTATGACAGTGACAACACTCTAATATACAAGCCGAGAGAGGGAGAGAGAGAGAGAGAGAGAGAGAGAGAGAGAGAGAAAGAGAGAGAGAGAGAGTGACGTGAGGTGACACATGTGTGAACTTCGTGGCATGCACACATGATAGCCAATCGCCGCGAAGACATGATGTCATCCGAACCGGCGATTGGCCCTCACACACACACATTGGCCTCTACACACACACACACACACACACACACACACACACACACACACACGCAGACGCGCGCGAGCGCGCGTGACGACGGGACGTGCCGTTGGTGATGGCAACCGTCCGTCGGCCGCCGCGCGGACGACCAACCAAACGCACTACCGGTCGCCGGCGAACCGGCACGGCCCTCACAGCCCTCGAAAAAAACAAAAAAAAAATTATAAAAAATTTATGACGGCCTCCCACAATGCCACCGACCACAGGTATCCCGTCCGACTATGCGACAAGCCGACTGCCCAAAAGTGAAAACGCAACTTTTCCAAAAAAAAAAAACAACTACCGAAAACGAAAAGTACCGCGGGACACAGGCTCGACAAAAATCGGTGCGCACTATAAAGCAGGGTCGGCAAAAACAGGCTTGGAGGTACTGGTGGTTTAAAGCTCAAGCTGCTCCATCTATTGGTGGGGAGCGACACCTGCCGGAAACCGGGTCCAGCCGAGCAGGAAAAATTAAGGGTGGGCAAAACGAGGGTTGGCGGTAGTTATGGTTTAAACCTAACCAATTCAGTTACCTATGAAATCCGGACAGGTTGGTCTTCCAGGCCTATTATATTGTCATTATAGTATTACGGGAACCCCGTAGGAGCCACATTCGTGCTTAAGGCTCCAATGAGGAAACATGTAAGAGTTGCACCCACCAGCAGGTGTGATACCTGCTATAGCAGGTGAGCGCCCTTTGGAAAAAAAAAGATCGGTCAACGGAAGAACCAAGTTGGATATGATGGGCCTCACTCCACTACTGTCCACTGTACAAAAATGGACAGTCCTACGTGGCGCCACGTCTTACTGTCCACTGTCCATGCGAAAAATTGCTCCGACAGTAGTAAAAAATCGGATGGACAATCTACTATCCCCGAATGTATAATTCCCAGCCTGCAAAATTGGTTATGTGGAAAGTCCCTCAAAGAACTCACGCCCGCGTACTTGGAGTTTGGGCGGTCAAAATGCTTTGGACGCTCTGTCTTGTGGTGCAATCATGGTAGAAGTGCTGTTAGTGGACAGTAAGTGGAGGGATGCCCCATTTCCACGGTTTTGGCTCACTCTGACAGCTGTCCACAAACTGTACAAAATTTTGTATAGGGGACAGTAGTGGAGCGAGGCCCGATGTTTACATCGGCGAACGGCTGGAGCGCCTGTTAGCAAACTGAAGGCGGATGGCACTCGGACGGGCTGGACTCTACTACCAGTAGCAACATTCCTCAGGAAAACAATGCAAACCAAGTGCCTCATTTTTTATTTTTTTAAAAAGACCACTTTGGTGGAGGGAGCCACTTGAGGAGGTGGTAAGAGCACCAATGTAAAGTTGAAAGTCCGGGCTCCCACTATGGCCTCTGTACTGCTAAAAAGCCACCGTTGTGACGCCCAACGTCAAGCCCAGCGTGACTTCCTGTTTCGGACTGTTAGTGGGCCTGGAAGTGCGAAAAGGGGTGTGCCAAGGATTTTAGGAAAGTGGGGGCGGAGTTCCAGGTCGGAACTGGAATCTCCTGTGTCAAGTTTCAGGGGTAGGAGTGCAAGTGTCTCTTTTGGCTCAGAGTTGGGGCGATGGTCGATCGTGCGGCCTGGGCCGAGGTGGGGCACTACGGGTGTCTCTGTGAGAATGCTCGTACCACTGCCGACCGTCGCAAGCCTCGGAGCCCGACGAAGCCGAGCTGGGTTCTCGTCGCTCTGTCCCTGGGTGGGTTCGTTGCGTGACCCTCGACGGTCGATACTCGCCGGGCTGCCGACACTTCAAGCATGGCGGACGGGGCTAGAACCGGGTTATGGAATCCCAGGGGATCACGAGTAAGCGGTGGTAAGGGAGGATGGTATAGTAGGGAGGGAAGTCGGTGGTGATGGCAACGAAGCCTGGGGTTAGAAGATATTGCTGGTTTCGGCTGTCGGGATAATCGGGAATTTGTGGGTCTCGGTTGATTGCCAGCTGGAAATCGCCTCGGCACAGTCGCTTGTTTTCATTCCGGCAGGGGTACTCAAGGTGCTCAGGGTTCCGTAAGTGGCGATGTTGTCGGATCCGTTGCCGTCGGATTTGTTCCCTTTCCCAATACGTTTGGTATTCTAGGTCCCTCAGGCTTTCGCAATCGGTGATCCAGAAAGGGGATTCTACCGCTATGTCTCGTTCAATGGAACTCAAGCACACACATCTTTTCAGGGGGCGAAATCGCAACTGGCTTTTGCAGACGCGCGTGTAGATGACAAGTCCGCGGACGGGCCGCCGCCTTACACGTGCCTGCGCACTGGTCAGTTGATCAGATCCTAATCTGCACAAATGAATAAGGAGCGATCTGTCAGCGTATCGGATCAACCATGCAGCTGATTCCCTTAGGCAATCAACCTCGTTCCCGGGATGAGCTAGCTTCAGCCATACCGCACTGCATCAAAGGAGAGGACTATTGGACATTCACAAAGCATACACACCCAGCAGTTCCCGTAATCACTAATCAAAAAGACAACTCGAAAGAAAGGATACGAGCTCATTCATCATCATTCATGCATACGTACATACAGCAAAAAGTCCGAGATGATTCAATCAAGAAATTCCAAAAAATGCTACAACAAAAATTGACCAACGTTGAAATCAAAATTTATACAAACAGTAGGGAGAACAGACATTGTTCCACCATATCCCCGTCTCTCTCTCTCTCTCTCTCTCTCTCTCTCTCTCTCTCTCTCTCTCTCTCTCTCT